GCTTTAAGCTTGAATCATAAATAATTTTATTAAAAAGTCGAAAAATAAAAATTGTCTACAAAAATATTAGGCCGTTTGTCCTATATAACCTTTGATATTTTGACGCTGATGTTAACAGTCACACCAAACGGCCTAATATTTTTGTAGGCCACAATTTTTCTCGATTTCGTTTTCACATTATTTTACGATTCAAGTGGAAAGCAAATGATTTCCCGAGTTTTTAGTAACTCATTAAAAAAAAAACTAGTCAAAATTTTTATCTGGAAATTTTTAAAAATCATATAATTATTTTTTATATGTTTTTTCAACTCCCCATCGACTGCCAAAGTCATTAGTGACGATCATAATTCTTAAATATAACTTATTAATTTTAGTTATTGAATGTACTTCAGCGTTTATTCAATACCATTCTTTTCTTTGCACAATTTGTCATCAAATTTGAGTTCAATTTGTCGTTCACAGAATTTTCGCACTGAAATATGTATTATGCGGTCAGATCAACATTTTCACATGTTGGTCTCTCAGATTTACGGTTCGACAAAAAAAACGCACTTACAAAAACTACAGTCATTTCAATCAAAAATTTTACGACTAACAGTTCTTGACGCGACCCTGGTACGTCATCAACAAACCTTTACATAACGACTTACGACAGCCAACACATAGGTACTCTCTACTCTCGTTTTCATCTCAAACTACACGGACACACAAACAGACTTATAAACGACATGGCTACGACTGACATGCCCATCAGAAGGAGGCTTAAAATGAGCTGGATGAGACATCTCCTTGCCTAAATCAAAGTAATGACCAGGATGAGGTACTGCTGGGTACTATCCTTCCTCTTGCCTATAATACCAACCTCATTATGCCAACAACACATCTGCTGGTTGTCAATACGATGACAGGTGCGGATAAACACTATAATAAAAAAAAAATTGAAAAATAAAAAAATAATTCGATTATTAATGTACCCCCTCATTACGAAATGATTTTATTTATTCATTTGCTCACTACTTGCTACTTTAGACTTTGGCTGTCAGTTCCTATTACTTCGTCCTCAGTGCATTACCAGCTTCTTCCCAACTATTATTCAAGTTATTCCTTATCAAAGAAGTTGATTCCATTAACAAATGAAATATGATTTTGAATTATCAGAGAAAAGAATACAGAAGTGTATTTGCAATATACTATAAGGTACTGATATAATTTTTAAATAAATAATTTCACTCAGTTAAATTATTCGAGGGGAGTGGGGTACTGAGCTTCCAATGCTAAAGGTCCCAGGTTCGAACCCCGGCTCATGGCAGAAAATTTATTTACCTATTTCATTGGTCGCGGAGCGACCCTGGGTCGGGGGACCCTCCTGTGGCACACCCAGTATCTATTAAGTGGGTACCCTTAATTAAATAAGTAATTAAGGGGGAAAACCTGGCGGTTGAACGTGATCTCGGTCAAATCACCTCCTTGCACAACCGTGGACCAAGAAACAGTACTTTCCCTAAATAGTACAGAACCCAAGACCCTTCATGGGTTGTAGTGGTACAGGTTGTTTTTTTTTTTTAATTATTCGATACTTAATGTGCTCGTTATTTTTTTTTAATTATAAATTATCATGTACAGGATGAAATTATTTTATTTCCATACAAACTCACTACTTTGAACTTTAGAATCTTTAGAAGTTCCAGCTCCGTACGGATGCACTTCGCTACAATTATTTACGTTATTCCTTACAAAAGAAATTGATTTCAATTACGATTTCAAAGTATGTTAGAAATGGTCGAAAAAGTTTTTTTTTCGATTTACTGTAATGTACTGATATGATTTTTAAATAAATACTTACTGTCAGTTAAATTAATCAATTCTTAATGTATGCACTCATTATACTCTGTATAATTACACATTATAATTAATGTACATAATAAAAATAATTTGTTTTTATATAAACTCACTGCTTTGAACTTTCGAGTTTAAGGTCTGTTAAGTTAGAACATAAAATTTGGTTCACTAGCTCCTTACCCATACACTTCACATTTATTGAAATTGTTAAAAAAAAAAAAAGTTGGTTCATCTTATGATTAATTACAATTTTAAACTATATGAGATGTACTGGCACTGGCCAGATTCTTCACTCAAGTCCTGAGCGTCTGTTGCTCTAGTGCCCTCCATCAGTCTCCACTGGCTTACAATACCAGTGACGCAGCTGGGAGAGAAGCACTGGGATCTCCTGGAGTCCTGCTTTGGCTTCCACAATTGGGGGGCAGTGCTTGATTCATAGTCCCCTGGGCCAATGTAAATACTGTACATATTTGTGGATGTGTTTTATTTATTTTATTATCATTCGGCTTTAAACTGTTATTTTACTTATCTTGTATATTACTTTTTATCTCTCTCTCTCTCTCTCTCTCTATATATATATATATATATATATATATATATATATATATATATATATTTATTTATTTTTTTTTCTCCTCTTCCTACTTGGTTATTTTTATCTATTTTCCTTTCTTATGTACATACTGTGTGAATGAATACTATCGCCCTAATACCAATTCCCTTCAGTTTGGCAGACTGCATTAATACTCAATAAAAAAAAAATATGAGAAATAACAGAAACAATTTTTTTTAAGTGAAACCTTCTTTAGACTCGTTTTGTCCTTTTTTGTGGAGAGTGATTTATCCGTTAGATTTCCGAAGTGCTAACGCTGTATTAGTGAAAAAATAGTATCGAAAACCATATAATAACGAGTTTAGTTGAACATTTACAGATACTAAAAATTACAGGGTAATTTACAATACTTCAGATACTAAAAATTGAACCTGTATAATGTAAGCGGAGGAAATGGTCATCATTTCTATTATTCAAAATTGTATCTTAATCCAATACCGTGTTAGAGACCAGGAAAGAGAAAATGAAGAAAGTGTCAAAAACCAAATAATGACGAGTTTTATAGAAGATATGGATTAAAATATCATATAAACTAAAAGTCGGACCTGTATAAGCGATATAAGCGAGAGAAATGTTCAGCATTTTATTTCCTTTATAATGAACTACTATTTATAATTTATATTTAATCTTTATAAATAGTATGTTTAAACTCGCCTTATTGATGTTTCACTTATACCGTGTGGCCTAAAGCACCTTAGTTTTTTCAGTTTACTATAAGATACGAATTTCTAAATAAATAAATACGGTTTGTTAAATTAATAAATTCTTAATGTACGCACTCATTACATTCTATATATTTACAATTTTTTTATTATTATTTATTTATGATATTTACAACTGTATTAAGAAAAAATACCAGACTGAAACGGCAAGAAACCGCTCGACGTTTCCGATTACTTCAGCACTTACTAGACAAATTCTCTAAACTTCCAACTAATTACAAAAGACTCATATACATGAGTATAATAAGTGATAAGTGATAATGACTATAATGACTCTATTTGGACTTATGGAGTTGAGCTATGGGGCTCCACTAAACTCTCGAATTCCTCTCGTATCCAATCCTTACAATCCAAAATCCTCAATGCTCCCTACTTTTTTAAAAAATAAAACCATCCACAATGTTTCTTATGTTTCAGATATGGCCCAAAACCTATCATTCCTTAATAAACTTCTGAACCATCCGAACCCTCTCGTTTCCAATCTTACTTCCTCTTTTATTCCTGATAACTCTCCGAGGCGTCTGAAAAGATGGCCCCGTGATTTCCTAATGTAGACATATTATTAGATTGCTACCATTGAGTAGTTTCTCAACAAATGTTTTCACGTCATTTTCATATGTTGAGATTTACTAAATGTATTTCTTTAATACAGTTGTAAATGCCATTAAGAATTATAAAAAAAAATTAGAAAAATACATAAAATGTATATTGAATAGTGTGTATTCGATGAAACTATTTTATTTTCATATAAACACTCTCTCTTAGACTCTACCTGTATGTGCAGGATCGAATATTATACTTCGCCGTCACTACTGTCCCAGGCCCCGCACCGTTACACTTCACAACAATTAATGAATGATACAGTAGTGCTTTGGCTATCATGTAGTGCACAGCTAATTCCCAGGAGCTCACTGAGATAACAGGATTAGTCGTACAGATATTAGGCCAGATCGTTTTCTTTTTTTTTTTTTTTTTATTTATTCATGATATTTACAACTGTATTAATAAATAAAATACATTTAGCAATTTTGATAACAGAAAATAATAACATGAAATCACTTGTTGAGAAGCTACCCACTGGTAGCACTCTAAAAACAAAATGTATTTACAATAAGAGATCTCGAGGCCATATTCTTTTCAGACGCCTCGGAGGGTTATCAGGAATAGAAGAGGAAGCAAGGTTAGAGATGAGAGGATTCGGATGGTTCTGAAGTTTATCATGGAATGATTGGTATCTGGATTGGGCCAGATCTGAAACATAAGAAACACTATGGATGGTTTTATTTGTAACAAAGTAGGGAGCATTGAGGATTTTAAGAAGGATTTTGGATTGTAAGGATTGGATACGAGAGGAATACGATTGTTTAGTGGAGCTCCAAAGCTCAAATCCGTTAGTCCAAATAGATGTTATTGTAGTCATGTATATAAGTCTTTTGAAATTAACTGGAAGCTTAGAGCGTTGGTCTAGTAGGTTGGAGTAGTCGGAAGGCCAGATCTAATTTAATTAACATGTGCACTCGTTTAATTTTATTATTTTTTAATTCTTTATTTTTATTTATTCATTCACCAGTGTACCTAGTCCTGCCATAAATATTGTTACAAGGGAATGTATACAGATTTCAACAGAATTTTTTTTTCAGAAACTTTATTAGAAAATAAAATGTGTATCTATAGAGAGTAAAACAAAAAAGAAATTACTCAAAATGCCCCCTTTTGCCTTGACACAGGCCTTTAATCTCCGTGGCCAGACATCAATAGCAGCACGCAGCACTTCTTGAAGAAAGCGCTCAACTGTTCGGACCAGAGATTGTTTGAGGCTTTCCAAGTTAGGGTGTGCTCTGTGGCATGCCATCTTCTCCAGTTCGGACCAAAGTCGATAATCTAGTAGAGATCAGGGCTTCCTGAGGGCCAATCCGAGGCAGAGATGAACTCTGGAATGTTCTTTTGCAGCCACTGCTGAGTTGTGTGCTGACTTTGTGAGCTGGAGAGGAATCCTGCTGGAAAACTCAATGACTTCCAGCAAACAGAGTATCATTTAGAGGCTTGAACAAGTTCCAAAATATCGTCCTGATAGTTTTTAGTGACTGTTTTAACTCATTTTTCACAAACATGAGCTCCCCACCAAACCATCATTGAAGAAGGGTGATGACCTTTGTTGTTTGCGTCCACGATAATTTTGGTAATTAAATTTTTCTTCAAATGTGAAAATTTTCTCATCGCTAAACAAAACCTTTCGATGAAGACCATTGGTGTAACGGCCAAGGAGCACTTTGCATCTATCCAAACTAATTTTTTTTAGGGAAATGGTTAGCCTTTGTCCTGTCATTCTTCGAAATGCAGCCATCCTAAGGTCACTTTTTATCATGCTAGACATTGATCTGACAGAGATTTCCATTTCCCGAGACATGAATTGTTGTTTTCGAATGGGATTTCTTTTGATTCGAGCAGCCATTGCTCTCTGTCACATACAGATAGGGTCTCATTATATTTATTTATAGTGCGGTACACGAACATACGGCTGATACTCAATGGTTTCAAAGTGTTGAAAATCTCTGGTTTACATTTTCACAGCTGTTCGGTTTTCACCGAATCACCCCACTCAATGTTAACTGAGCGAAAGAAAAATACAAACTAGTTGGGATTATTATCTTGACATCAGAAGAAAATAACCTGATAGAGGTAAGGCTTATCTAAATAATACTCGGGAATGTAAACACAGTTCAACTTTTGTAACAGTATTTATGGCAGAACTACGTATTATACTGTATTATAAGGTATTATTAAGTTGGTCAACAACACCGTTGTACTATAATTTTTTGGTTTATGGTTTGCTGTTTCATTACATATAATCTGCAGCTTAAAGCTGACTAGACTTAGAATAAACTACGGTAGAAGTAACAAATGTCTACATCTAATGGGTCTAATATCGGTCCTTGTCCAACATGCCAATTCCTGGAGAATCCAAGACACATTGCCTTCAAGTGTAAAATATTCGAGAAAAGAAGATGAATTAGTTTAGGATCGCAAGTTACGGATGATGGAGCTAACTTTCTTCGATCGATGAATAAAGATAACGTCCGTGATCTGTTTTTTTTTAAGTCCTCTGTTTTGTTATGTAAGCAGTTATATAATAAAAGTCGCCTTTTATTCTCATTTGATTGTTATGATTCTACTCTTACATAATTTTTTAACTATTAGCCTTTCAAATTCAAGTTACATTCAATAATTATATACTTGGAAATTCTTAAACTTGATAAAAATAAAGGAGACACCAATTGTGAGCAATGTGACGAAGTGAGGATCCGGTGCATCTAGCGATTCGATATCGTGTAAACGTTTTAGCAACGAAAAGGATCGATTCATATCAAGGGATCGATGTTCAATATTTCTGAAATAATAAAATAGCAAGATCGTAAAGGACACAATCAGCTTAAAAAGTTCATAATAAAATTACGGTTTTAATGTTTGACAAAACATTAATTTCAGGGCAAATGAGATTTTGAATGAAGGAACTTTTATCAAACTGAAAACATCAAGGCGAGATTAATAATATGAAATATTTTTTTAATTTTATTTATTAGTTGTACATATTTGTGGCTCACAATAAATTTGCCATCTACCTCGGTATTCAGCAAATATCATATCAGAGAGAAGAATAACAAAACAAAAAGACAAAAAAAAAAAAAAAAAACCGTAGTAAAATAACACATACATTATTACATAATAACAAATACACACACAAAAAAGATAATATAGCAAATAGCTCAATGCAATATGTCTCTTGGTCAGCGCCTCAGCAGTCTTCTGGGCGGATTATATGGATTTGTGACAGTGGATAGAGCTTGAGTAAGTGGATTTTAGAGTCAGTCTGTCATGAAAATTATTAAAGCTGTCAGTGGCAGTTGCTGCGATGAAAGGAGTGTTAAGGTCAGTGTGTAACGTGAGGTTTGAAACATAAAAGGGTGCGTCTACAATTTTCCGAAGGAATTTTGACTGGAATGACTTTTTGATGAATGATTTTTAATATGAAATATAAATTATAAATATTAGATCAGTATAAAGAGAGTGAAGTGCTGATCATTTTCCTCGCTTACAGTATGCAGGCTCGATTTATAGTTTCTGAGATATTTTAATCCATAACTTCAATAAAACTCGTTATCATTTGGTTTCCGATACTATTTTTTCTCTTTTAGCCTCTTTAACACGACGTCGCATTAATATAAAATTTTGAATAATAGCCCATTACCGAGAGGATGAAATGCTGAACAATTTACTCGATTACAGTATGGAGGTCTGATTTATAGTTTCTGAGATATTTTTATTCATATGCATTAAAACTTCAATTAGTCGACTCCAACCGATGTTACCCGATACACATCCGAGATCTAATTTACTCTTTACACAAAAAAGTGCAAAACGCGCCAAGCGAAGTTTTCACTTAAAAAAAGAAAGAAGTAAGATTGCAAACTATCTGAGAAATGAAAGTAAAATTTTCTTTGCAATTTACAATAATGTACTGATTTTAAAATAAATAAATACTGCCAGTTAAATAAATCGATTCTTTATGTATTCTTATATTTTATATGATTATAAATTAAATGTACGCAATGAAATTATTTTATTTTCATATGAATCCACTGCTTCGAACTTAGACTCTAACTGTCTGTAGAAATACAAACATTGTTTTTAGCAGTGAGTATTGTCACTGTTCCGTATCGCTGCACTTCGCAACAATTATTTAATGTATTTCTCACGAAATAAGTTGATTTCATCTCCGATTAAATTATGATTTTAAGCTATCTGAGAAATTAACATTTATATATCATTACAGACAATTCTCTCATATATTTTAATTTGTATTGACTTCCTAGAATTATTCATTAGTAGATGAAATATATTTTCTTCTTAAATCATTTTAAAATAGTTGATTAAAAATTTTTTTGACTATCTTTCCTCAGCCCTCACGAAGGCTTGAAACTTGAGCTGAAATGTCGACACAAAATAAATAAATAAATTTTTATTTTTTTCATAACATATTGAAATTTTTCTAAGAGTACATATTACAAATTATTTTACAATATTGAGGAAAATAATATTTGAACCCTTATACAGTTTATAAATGCTTTAATTCATTATTTACATCTCGACGACGCTTCGGGAAATTTTTTCTTTTTTCAATTCTTTATATCTATAATATAAATAAAAATAATTATAAATGTATATGTGAAACAATATATCAGCACATAAAAACCATAAATCATATCTTTATTTACAATATGATTATATAATCCATCAAACCACATTTTATATCACTATTGCAGTAAATGTTTCTTTAAAATTAAGTTGTCGTATTATACAATTCATAAATTCTTTTTGAACAGTCAAATCTAAAAGAAAAAACCAAGCATAAAATATTACAAATAAGAAAAGAGCAAAAAAAAAAATTAATTATTGTTTATTACATAACTTACCTGTGGGTAGTAAAAAAAAAAAAAAAATTATATGAAAAGTATTCAAACGTTAAAATATTTTTTTCTTATTTAAACAAAAGCTTAATGTACACTGCGAGCTGTTGGTTTACCTACTATTTTACTGATTGGAATTAAGATTGCTGCATTTAAATGGTTATAAGTTTCCTGTTTTAATAATAATTTAGCTAAGAATAATTATTTAAAATTCTAATTTATTTATTATCTCCACATAATGTTGGCCAATCCCCTCATTACCAATTATTTTTTATATTTTTAGTTATATAAATTTATTGCAACAATTTCCTTATTTTATTATCCTCAGTCCTATTTATAACTTTTATTTTCTCATAATTAAAAATATGATTCTGATATTTTAAGTATGGTTTTTATTTTGAATTGTTTGATTTGACAGTTTAAAAATAATAAAAATTTATGAATTGTATAATATGACAACTTAATTTTAAGGAAATGTTTTTGGCAATAATAATATAAAATGATATTTGATGGATTATATAATCATATTATAAGTAAATATATAACTCATCGATATGCTATTTTAGATTTCCATTTTTTTTTTTTTTTTTTTTTTTTACGTGCTGATATATTGTTTTGCATATATATTTATTAAAAAAAAAAAAAAACCTGTACCGCTACAACCCATGAAGGGTCTGGGGTTCAGTACTATTTAGGGAAAGTACTGTTTCTAGGTCAACGGTTGTGCAAGGAGGTGATTTGACCGAGATCACGCTCAACCGCCAGGTTTTCCCCCTTAATTAATTATTTAATTAAAGGTACCCACTTTTTAGAGGCTGGGTGTGCCCCAGGAGGGTCTCCCAACCCAGGGTAGTCCCACGGCCAATGGAACATATAAATAAATTTTCTGCCATTAGCCGGGGTTCGAACCTGGGACCTAAAGTATATATGTTGAAAAAACTAAGATATATATTAAAAACTAACATATATTTATAATAAATATTATTTATATCATAGATATAAATTTTTACTTGAAAATAGACAAAAGTGCCGGAAATGTCGTCGAGATGTATAAATGAATTAAAGCATTTATAAAATGTATAAGTGTTGAAATATTATTTTCCTTGATATTATAAACTTTATTTAATTTTTATTAGTTCATCTCAATGACTACTGAGTTCCAATTAATAAATTATTTTATATACAATTTTAAATAAATTTTCCTGAATACATTTTCATTAACCATTGTCACTAACATATGGATGAAGCAGCAGACGTATCTGTGTTTACATTCGGCATGTAGATACAAACGTTTGTCATCAGTTGGCAAACATGTATATGGTTAGTATTGGCTTTGATGAAGTTCCATCGCCAGCTTAGATACGGCAAACATAGTCGAGATTGGATCTTTCAGTTTTATGAATGAAAAAAAGACATTTTCATTGACTATTTTCGTTTTAAAAAGCGTTTTAGAGCTATTGATCGGGCAACGTTTATGATTACAATTCAATAATACTATTATAAAGGGTGTCCCTTAAGTAGAGGGAAATAATTAAAAGGTTGATAGTAGACATCAAGATTTACAAAGAAGTTCATATAAATATTAAGAAGAGTCTTGGTCTTGCGCACTTAGTCTTGTGCACAGGCGGGGCTACGGGGGAGGGGAGCTTTCGGGGTAATGCCCCCTCCAAAAATGGTAAAATATAACCATGTTTTACAGAAAAAAATATTAAAAAATATCTCTTAAAGTATTCTTGTTCGTTTAATTACATTTAATAGGATTTCAAGAACCACTTAAACACCATTTCATATAGGTATTTAATTTCTTTTTCAAATTATTTTTATGAACATGTATAAAAAAAAATCTTTCGGGCTGAAGCCCCCCCCAACAAAAAATTAAATCCTGGATCCGCTAGTGGTCTTGTGCAAG